CAGAAAGCCTCAGGGTAAAGAGGCAGAGATGATTGCTTTCCTACTTACGTATGGTAGGATCTTTATGTAGTTCAGTATGTTTATTATTAACCCTTGACAATGATATTAAACTACACACAAATTTTATTCATCCACTTTACAAGTAATTGTAACAGAGACCATCAAAGTCTCTGCAGCCAAAACTGTAAATAGAATCCAGCTTTTTAATATACCAGAGACATAATTCATCCACTCTATCAAACTGCTTTTTGATGAAGATACAAAAAATGTGTTAGGCCACATTCAATAGTCACTCCTTCAGGGATTTTTTTTTAGGATTTGGAACATGGGAATCCTCACGTTTAATTGCTTATCTGCCTTACACACAGTAATTACTCAAACCACTGGCAAAGGGTGTATCATGATGCCTTCTAAATGCTGATCTACAGAGAAGTTCACTCCCGCTTATTTACTATGCCATTAACTCATGTGGAAAATCTCTGAAGGTAATTGGTTAATCTACTAAGAATAAAAAAAAAAAAAAAGAAAGAAAAACCCCGCATAATGGTATGTTTCTAACAGAAGAAAACAAACAATTCTGACTACTTCTACCTTGCTACCACTTAGGTGAAGTTCTTTAATGAACTTTTGAAATAAGTTATTGAAGTTCCTAAATTATTGAAAGATGACCAACAAACTCTCATAATTTGGCCTTCAGTTCCACCTTGATATAAAGCAAATAATATTATTTGCAGAGGGAAGTCCTAAAACAAGTTGTCATTTTTAAAAGTGAAGTTTACAGCAGTCTACAATTTTTTTGGAAAAAAAATATATTTTTTTTAAATACTTGCCATTAAATTTCACACATGGATCAACAAAAGAGAGTTCAATTAAAGAAGTACCATATATAGTCTTGCATGCAGCGTCTATGGCTTCTCATCTGGCTAACTTTTAAATGCACAAATATTACTTAAATAAAAATAAGTTTTCATAACACGAGACGTGAGACTACCTTTAAGTCCTGTGTGACACAGAATTAATTTGAACAAATCCAACCAACAACTTCTAATCATGTTTAAGTGACAAATTTCAGGAACAAAGCTTTTATTTGTCCAAGAATAGTTAACTAGCTTTCTGTTGCTTGAAGCACAGGCAAAGAACATTCTGAAGAAAACTAAAACTTCCTTGTTTTATTTGGAAAAAGAAATGCCTAGTTTTTCCTACCATAGATGACTAGGGAAAGGGCGCCCATGCTGGACAGCTCCCAATGCTCCAGTTTGGAAACTGGATCCCTTTTTATACCAGGAATTTGGAAGAAAATTTTTTTACACTAATTGGGAAATTGAGGTTTCTGTTGACTTGACATATCTTCCCACTGCTTATACAAGTGTAGAATCTCCCTGTGTTTTGATTTCTACAATTCAAAGCATCTTAATCCTGATAATTCTTTTCAGAACTTCTCAGAGCATATACAGCACTGCTGTTCTTAAAAAAAGCTCTTCATCAATCTCTGGGTTTTTTCAGCCAACTGTGGTTTCAGTCATATATTATAAACCACTTAAAGATCAAAGCATATTGATACATTTTGATCATTTCCTTGTTCCCAGTGCTGGGCAGCTCCTCATCTCAATAGCTTTTCCGTCCTCTGTAGAGATTTTTCTTGACCATGCCCTAACTGCTTGTACCATTCAATAGCTAGAAACACAGCAGTTTTCCGTTATGAATCTGAACAAGTTAACAAAGTACTCACCACCCAGCCAAGGAATAGGTTGATGCTACCAATTAACTCTCATATTCCTACCTGCTGAGGTTTTTTTTTTCCTGTCTTTCAGTATCTTTTTTTAACTTCAAACCTTTTTTTCCTGTTCACTCCCTCTGCTATTTAGCCCTTCTGGGTGCTGGGTGGGTAAGGAGAAGAATATCCAAAATGAATGAGTAAATATTTAACTATTAAATTTTCAGTTCTAAAAATGAATTTAGGAAAATGGCACCTGGCAATTTCAACTACCTGCACTCAAAAAAATATTTTGTCAGACATAGAACTAATTATCAACTGATATGAATTCTAGTTTGTGCTCTTAATAAGACAGGATATGCTAGCTCTACTTAAATATGATTAGGCCTGTTGCTCTTCATCTCAATACCCAATCCTTTTCTCTAAGGATTCCTCTATTATGCAAATGAACAGCAAAGCAATTAAACACTTCAAAAAGGAAGACTGAAAATTTGTAATGAAAGAATTATCATCTTCACCTCCTGAAATATATAAAACAAACCACATGCCAGGAAATACTCTTCTGCATTACATAATGCTGTTGTTCTGTTCAGATGAAAACTGCCTACACCATTCACAGAAACATCTGAGCTGAAAACATTTGAGGTCACGTAAACATCTGGACCCATCTTGCCACAAAAATCTACATACCCTCTGGCTTCTGAAAAGTTGCAAGCAGAAGAATTGAGGACGCTTCCTGAAAATCTGTCCATAAAATAGAGGCTTCTTTTTTTTGTTGTTAAATAAGTTAATACGTCTCAATGGCTAAAGCTCTTACATGAGATTCTTACAATCCTGTATTTATAAATTCACTTCTGCTGAACAACAAATGAATTATGAGATAACACTACTACGGTACTGTCTGCATTTCACTTTCATATTTTTATCCTTTATAGAGAGGTATGTAATTTTATTATAAATCTGTCAAATCCAAACTACAAATTTCCACTAGCTTCTGTTTATTTGTGAGTACCTCTCCAAAAAACAACTTCTGGAGGTTCTTTCCATGTCTCTAAATAGCAGTGATTAATTCTGACACCTTCTAAAAATGCTGCATGTCATTACAGACTCCCCATACCCACAAATAAAACTAATCCATTCTGGTGGAGAAACAACTCAACACAAAATGCACAGAAGATTTGTGGTTTTTATACCAGTTAAAGTCAGACCTATCAGAATCAATGCAAAAAACCTAGACATTCTAGAAAAGTTAGGACTGCTCATTCAAATGAGCTCCAAAATTTACCTTTTTTGAACAGGCTTTATAAAATTTAGTCAAAACAGACTTTGCTGTTATATCATGCACTGGATCAGGATAATTGTATTATATATGCACAAACTTTGTAACTGCACTAAGTACCATATAGCCAGTTGTCTAACCTATTACTAAAAGTATATCTTCATTCCAAAAATCAAAACACACTGCAAGAAGAAAATTTCAGCAATAAAACTGTGAAACAACACAACCGTGTTGTGGCCTCTCTCTCAGGACAGCACACATCAGTGAGAATCTTGCTACACAACACTATACCTTATGCTGAGGTATTCATAATGCTGAAACCTGCTCTTACCACATTTATTGATACAATGAGTGACGACTTATTTTCAAAAATGAATCCATTATTCCTACGATGTGATGATGCTTTCATCCTTAAGCAGTTTTGAACTTTAATCCCAACATCTAGAATTTCCTTGAAGATCTCTCATACCTGTTACTGAAAGCAACACTTTGAAGCATGCACTCAATATACTGTCCGAGACAAGGACATTAGCTGGCAATTCTTGTGTCATCAGTGATCTCTCTTCACATGAGATACCAGTTTTATGGGCTACAGAATCTGAGATAAAGGCTCACTCTTCAAGGAAAATAGGAGAGTTCTCTATGTTTCACCTTGCCCTAACGCCATAAGAAGCAGAAGCAGCACTGACATCTTTCTTCCTCAAAGTACCAATAATACATGAAAGTTAAATTAAATATTTTACTTTCTTTTTGTCCCAAGCCTCACTATTCTAATCTGAAGTGTTCTAGGAACAGACTGTGGGCATCTTTCTTGGGAGGAAAAGGAGAAACTTCTTTCTGGAAGAGAAAGAAGCTGACTTCTTTCTATGCACAGGCTAAAAAGAAAACATCTGGATGTGGCATGTACTAATGTTCAGGCTCACCACCATCTATAGGAGTACTTGCCTACTTCAGGCAAAACCTTTGTGTCTGGTAGGATACCTCCACATCCTGCTAACTCAGAAGGAAGGAAAAAGGGTTGGAGAATTGCAACTGGTTTCCCGCAAGGCAAGGCAGCAGAGAGGAGGTATTCCTTTGAAAGGAACTTTGGAGAACAACATGCATGTCACAGCTTTATGTATATGTAGAGCTACTAACTATCCAATACCACTCCTTAGCTTATCTCTTATACACTGGGGATTTATTTTCCCCTTAACTTCTGCCATTTTCAAGTTTACAGTCTTATAGCAACATACTTTTTTAAAAAAGTGCCAAAATTATAGAAATGAAAACAAAGATTATTGGTTTTCACTCCGTAAGTGCTTAAGCAGTAGTAGATGTGCAGCACATGAGTTCATTCATTCTAACTGCTACTTCACCTATTAATTACCATTGCTAAAATGTATAAAGGGAGCTATAAGCACCCCAATATTCTGTTACATTGGCACAATGAAGAAAAAAATCTAGAGCTAAGCAAAATACGACTGAGACACCATGCACTGTTAGGCTGTATTATGAAATAAGTACCAGCTGAGTCTACTAGCTGTACTCACATAAGCAGTATCACTGGAACTTCTGAAAACAGAATTTATGCAAACATGGATGGCAGAACTAAACCCTTTGGGATAACCAATTTCTTTTTTCCTTCTCTACATTTGTTCAGCTACCTTGTTTGTTTCCACTCCTTCCCAAATGATCCAGTGCCACATTTTCCATTCTCTCTACCAAATTTTGTAATTTCAATGACACTGATACCTCACCTGAAGAAGATTCATCCTGCAGACTACAGTTTTATAATGCAGCTGTAGGTATCAACCAAGCCATATGGGTACTTTCAGTGCTTACTCTGCAATTTCTGATTTGCCAAATGTAATGGGTAGATTCCTATCATTATTCTTAACAGATAGGACATCTGCCTAATGTGGTTTACATACCAAAAAGACAAAAGGAAGTAATTTTAAACTATATATATTGGAATCTACATATAAAAATATTAGAAGATTTACAAAGCATGTAGCTGGTACAAACCAGGGATACAGAGGCATTTGTAGCTGGTTCCAACACTGCGACAAATGCCATGTGCACAAGGATTCAGAGCGCAGAAGTCAATCAGCTGAGCACATGCAGGTCCTGTAAATCCAGGACTACAACTGCAGGAGAAGGCAAGTCTATCTGCATAACAGGTTCCATTATTCCGGCAGGGAGATGACGCACAAGGGTCTATTTTGTCTTCACAAGAGGTTCCTAAAAACCCTAAAAAAAAATAAATGTTTTTGATAAGTAAACATTCTGGTATGCATACAATTTTAATAACTAAAGCAAGTTAAAAGTGAGTCACTGACATATCTATATTCCTATTTTTTTGTCCTATGAAAATTACAAAAATACAGACTTCCTAGATATATTTAACTCTAATTTTACCCATTAACATGGTATGATAGAAGATGCTTCAGGTAGAATCATATCATATGATTAAGACAGTGAAGTGGAAAAATATTTGTTGAATCTGACAGTGCTTATCCACTTTACAATGTGTATCTGGCTAGAAAATCAGAAGACACTTTCTAAAGATCAGGAACAGACTAGCCTGGAAAAAAAGAAAAGCCAAAGCCAGCCTTTCTCATTTCTTTTAATGCATTTGTTAAGAATAACAACCTCTAAAGCAGCACATGAGTTTACCTGAACTTCAGTAATTTAAAAGATTATCTTTTACAACAACATAATTCTTATTAGCAGGAGAGACAATGATTTATTGAAGCAACACCATGTAAAAATTAGCCATAAAGAAAAGGATATCCTTGCAAGGGAGTTGTTTTAATCAGATGTAGAAAATAATATTTGAACAAACTGCAGTATACTAGCTACAGTTTTTATCACATACATAGCAATGTGAAGCATGGCTACTGTACCCAAAAGCAAGTCAGAAAAGAATTCAAATTCTAGCACCCCTCCAAATAAAAAAGCAAACTGTCCTTTCCATTCAACTCTAATATTTTTTGATGAGTATTTGGTCCATTCATATAGACCACCAGTTTTCAGGCTCAGAATTCCCTGGAATATCTTACATTGTGGAACAGCTCTTAAAATTACAATACACTAATCACTGGGAATGAGAAATTAGGAGCAAATCGGGCCAGCCTCCACTCAAGGCTCATCAAGTCAGCTTTACCAATCCACTCTAGCAGAAAGTGTAAACCACTGCAGTTGTGCCAGTCGAAAAGACAAAGAACAGACCACATTGCCACTGCTACCCAGGAGACTGTAGCAACATTTCAGACACCAAAGAAAATAAGTAAATGAATTAAAAACTATTCCAGGTTTTGAAAAATATTTTATCAGAAATAGAGGAAAATAAATTTACAAACAAACAAACAAACAAGAAAAACCCCAACCACAAAATGTCCCCAATGGTGAAAGAAAGGATCAAGATGGAGGAGACGTCTCTGTATATAGCAGCCTGCAACAACTCAGAGCGTGAAAACAAATAATGACAGGTGACACTTTGGATTAACACTCAATATTGAACTCTTACCCCTGATAGAATGAAGCAGATTTTTGGCCTTACTTCTACAGGTTTTGTATCTATAAAGTCTCACTGCTGGATTAAAAGCAGTTGATGTATTAGAACTGAACCCCTATATTGTATAAAACTTATAATGAATATCAAAATTGAGACCAAATACCACATTCAATACATATTTTATAGCATCTTATATTATTTTTGTTTAAAAAAAGTCATTCCACATTTCAAGCAAGGTACAATTCACCAGGAAACAGTTTTCAGTTAATTTTGACAAAAGTGTTACTTTCAGGGCATTTTGATATTCTTTCTCTTCTAATTATTCATGATTCACATTCAGGTGAGTTAAACTGTGTTTAACTGTATTTCTGGCACTGTAATCATGGGTAGCAAGTCAGGAGCTGGCATTTCTGAAAACAAGTGCATAAGAAAGAGAAGTTTACATTTTAAAGCATAACAAAAAAACCCCAAACATTTACTAAAAGGTTCAAATTCTACAGTTTGTTCTAGAAAGATTGGGTCAAGACTTGAAGAGTGAGTGAGGGCTTAGATAATCAGCCTAAGGATGTTAAAGTTACACATGAGCTCAGTGAACTGCCTCAGAGAGAGGGGGAAATGGATATTAAACCAAGGTGAGTAACCCACACAGAGTGTACTATAGGGATCTACTCAGAGAATTAACAAAACTTAGATTATTGTAACTAAGAAAAAGATGGAAAGGCCACAACTGCACTGTGAGTTTGAGACAAAACTAGGATATTCTTGGGCACTGTTGGCAGCAGGATTTTAGTAGCATCCTCATAATATTAGGTCCTGGACAAATGACTCGAAAAGCCACATTTCCCTTATATGTTTGTAAGTCTTATGCCAGACCTATGGAATGAAAAACAAAGAAAAAATAATCCAATTTTTTAAAAAAAGTAATAAAACCAAGAAAAAAACCTAGAGATTGAACTTTTAACAGTTTAGTCATAAATAACTCAGGAACAGACCAGGAAAGAAAAGCAAGTCTGGCAGGGCACAGGCAAAGAACAGAGCCAAGAGCCTTCTGCCCTCTCCGTTTTGCAACCCTATGGCTTAGGGCGGGTTATCAGGACCACCTGCATACTAATGCTGAAGAGGGAGAGCTTAAAAACATTGTGGAATCCTGTATTAGAGGTCCCTCCTGTAGATGGTAACTGCATAACCATGAGAAACTGAAAAGAACAGAAACCCTAAAATCAAGAATCTAATTCCAGCAACAACTGGACAAATTTTAAAAGCCTGTACTATTATCATAAAATCCCGGACAAATCTAAAAGAATCTGCAAGAACTTTTAACTATTACCAGGAGCAGATCAGCCAATGAGTCTGGTGAAATCTCTACACTAACTCTGAAACCAGAATAAAAAGAATCAGGGAGACCTGAGGTCACGCAATGACTCTAATGCTGCTTCACTATAACCTTTGCAATAATCTTCCCTACAAAGAGAAGCTTACTGGCAGATGGCTAATGTTTCAAGTGACAAAGCACTTCAGGAACATATGCAGGTTTAAAATACACTAAAACATGTTGCCCTTGTGCTATCTTTGACTGCACTGTGAAATGCAGTTAGTTGATTCTGGAAGTTTAAAACTTATGTATGAGTTAAACATCCGGAAATACTCAAAGCAGCAGTAGTTACACACCTAAATTGAAGATCTATTATTTTGGCATTTCTAAATGTCCATTTAAGTCCATATCAATAAAATTGTTGAAAAAAAATAATACAAATAATAAATTTAAAACTCTGATTCAGAGGTATGTTGATTGAAAGCAGAATAAAATGCTGTATGTTTTTCAGACAGCTAACACAACCCCAACTCTGCATCTAGGTCATTATTGGTATAACACAGACATGACTGAAATGTGAAGACTACTGGTGTTTCGAAAGATCTGAATGCAAATTTTACCAAAGGAATAACACTGAAGGTAAAGGGGAAAGGCAATATTAGAAAAGATTTATAGTGCTGAAAACCACAATACAATATTTGTGCTCACACAGATCAGACCATTTGGCTAGCTGTCAAGAAGAGTAGTAAGTCAGGTGATATTCTTCATGTATGGCTACAGTCCTCCAGGGCAATGATAGAAACTAGATCAGAAAATTTTTTCAGAGATAGAAAAGCTCTGGATAAAAGCCAGATTCGTCATCCTGGTGGGATTTTAATTACTTGGCTATTGAAAGCAAAAGAGCCAGGTAAAAATCAAGGAAGTTAAACATTATCTGAAGATACTGTACAACTGCTTTTTATACAGCCTGCAGAATAACCAACTCGCCTGAATGTTATATTAGACCTAATTCCAAGAATTACACAAATGTGAAAAAATAACTCTGTGAATTGCTAGGAACAGGGATTACAAAATATTTAGATTTGAAATACAGGGATAAATATTAAAAGAAATACAGACAATTTCTTTTTTCCCTCCTATAGAAAATTGTTTTATGTGGAAATACAAGATGCCTGATGGAATTTCAACAGAATTCTGTAAAGGGAAAAAAGGTACTCATCATAAGAAAAAAAGAAATCATTAAACTGTACTTCTAAGATGTTTATTGAAATCCACCCTAGCTAAGTCTTAGCAGATAAAGATGAACAGAGGCTAAACCTGTTAAAGCATTAAGGAGAAGTCTATGAAAAATAGGAACAATTTGGGAAGATGCCAGGTAAAAACATTAGATTAGCAGAAAATACTAGAAACTAAACAGCCATAAAAATTTTTAATTAACAACAAAATGTTCTTCGGGTAAATTAAACTCTCTTATGGTAATATGAAGAATTCTGCATTTTCTAATCACCAGTAACCTTGGGAAATCTTCCATACGCAACAGCTGTGTGACCTAGTTTCCTGGAATCAAGATAATAGGTTTATTGTACATAAAACTAAAGAAGTTAAATCACATCTGCAAGATACACTATAGAAAAAGGCTTTTACATGAACAATGAATCCCAGAAAAAGTGAAGACCTTGAAACTTAAACTATTCTTAATCTAGGCAAATAACTTCTCCCAGTCAATTAAAATTCATGGTGACAATGTACTTTTTCTAGCTGCTATTGCAAATCAACACTATGAATCACAACTTAGCATCTTCTATAGCTGTCAAACTTTTTATTTTTTAAACCACAGAAACTACAATAAGAGCATTCATAAATTTGCTGCTTTCCAGTACTTCCAGAAATACCTGCAGGTATTTCAGGGTGCTGGCGCTCAGTGTGCTGCCTAGCTGTAGTTCTCTGCAGCTAGTCAGCTCAAATTGTCAGTAGCAAAATCAAATCAGTCCTGAAATGCGAATTTCAAGTAATGTATATGTTAAACTCCTAATCATAACATTGTTTTCTCCCTATCTTCTTCTACAGGATGGCTATGAAATCCACTATTGCTGATGAGTATTTTTCAAAAATATATGAATCTGAATTAGAAGATTTCTGCCACTTCTGTCAGAGCAGGTGACCTCCGCATAGAGAATGTAGCAAACCCCCAAGAATCCAAGTCAGTTTCATGTGGCTGGCCAGCTGAATGCTTCCTATTTTTATCAAAGATTAATGTTTTCCTACAATACTGAATGCAGTTCATCTGTAGACATCATGAAGACATTAAAATTGCATGTAATAGAACCTCAGAAACATCTTGCAACAGAAGTTTATTTCTTTGTTGTAATAACTGATCTGAGCTTTGTTCATTATTATCTGGCTTTGTTCAAAACCATATTCCACTACTAATTTATTTTAGTATTATCTTAGGAGCAAAATTAATAAAGGCTCTCCAAAAGTTTAAAATATGTAATATATACACACACAGGTACCAAGTCTTTCATTCTATCAACTTTACAAAATTTCCATGTGTAAGGAACACAACAGTGAGATTTGTATTACTTTTTTAAAAAAAACTTTTGACAAAGATTTCAATGAATTTAATAACTACATAAATAAGGATAACTAATTTGTCCATTGCTGAAACATTTACTGTAATTACATTTGCTTACTCCAACCAGCTTTTTTAATGTTTCTAATTATTATGTGTATATTGAATTCCACTTCAAGGTGCTTTGGGAATTTACATAACTTCTCAGTGACTTAAAAGAAAATTAAGTAACCAAATTTATAAATTGATCAATCAATCAAATAAAATGAATTAATATTACTGTCAATACAGTGGTAATGTATGCTATACATTACAATAAGTGGAAGAAAATCAGAGGAAATATTTAAGAGTGATATGGGTATTTATAGAATCATTCTGAATATAAATTTCAAATATCCATGTTCAGGTTGACAAATGCTTATCATGTGTAGGTTTTTAGAATGTCTAGAGATTTCTTTGCATGATCATTTGAAGGTAATATTTGCTAAATATATGTTTATTATAATGAAACTTTAAACCAGATAATCAAAAATCCCTACCTCATTGTAAGTACAACATCCCAAACATCCTTTCTGCAATAACAGAGCCAAAATTTTTAACAAATTCTTCAGTCCTTAGTATTGCTTAAGCTTCTTCACTATAAATTTGAGTATAAAATCCAATTTTCTCTTTAGTACAGGTGACTCAAGAACTTCAGATAGCTGTTTATTTTCTGACATATTTTGGACATTAAAATATATAATGCATCACACAGAAAATGGAATCTGCAAGCTTAAGGAAGTTTTCTTTACTAAAAGACCCTTAAGACAGTAATATTGTCTAAAGAATAATCATGAAATGTTCATATCTGATCTAGGCTGCTTTTTTAGTGCCTTAGATCTCACCTTCTGTAAGTTATCACATTCTTCTTTCATGAGCACAGATCTCATTTGTAAAAAGAAATGCACAATCTCAAGATCATTCCTCATTGTCTCTATCTCATTCCTTTTCCTGCCATCTTTTTCTTTTCCCTTTGTCATACTTTCCATCTTCTCTTATCCCTTTCTGCCTAACCACATTATATCTCCAAGTCTTTTCGTTTTCACACGTGTATAAGCTCCTTAGCTACCTTTCCCCCCAGTGCTGAATTAGCACTATAGAAAGAAAGGCCTCTTCTCAACAAGCAATTACCATTAAGCACAGCAGGAGAACAGCAGCAGAGCAAGAGACCTCACTTAAGTTAGACACCTATCACGGGGGTTTGGTACGTTTTTTTTTTAATGGAAAATTTGAGGACATGCTAAAAATAGCAAAACTGCAAGTTACTGCATCTGCAATTTTCCGTTAACTATCCTTTGTTGTATGTATTAAAATAACCAAATCTCTTCAAAACCCAAACAAAAGCTCTCGAAATATGCCTCTATGAGAGGATAACACCTCAAGAGAAGAACGAAGAATCATGGGAGAGGCAGTCATTAGTAAATTTAGACAATATATTTTGTTAAATCAATCCCTTTCTTTCCTTCCACAAAATATCTGAATTCCTGAGCTTGTTAGCATCAGTAGGTCTTCCAGAACAAGATGGAAAAGCAACACTTTATTACCCAATACGCCCATTAGGCTACTCCAGAGCAATAGCACTGGCCCTTGCAGGCAGACTGTGTCACCTCTGCACCAATGCTCTCCCCTCTTCGTGGAAAGGATACGAGTAGGAAGCCCAGCTACATAACTTCATGGGAAGCATTTGCTCTTTGAAACAATGGTAATTATCAGGGAGTCAGGGAAAACATTTGGGGCTACTGTTATCATAGCCTCACTCAAGAAGAGCAACCATGCTCACATGGTAGCATTTGTTCCTGCAAACCTAAGAATGATTTTCTCATGTCCAAGGGACTGAGATTCAGACATGGCACATACAAGACTATTCTTTCTAAGGGAAATAACCCTGGGCAGTCCAGAAAGCCGTTCCTGGAACTTTATATCCCCTCCAAAGAATTTTTCTACATTGGAAATACAGGTCAATATACAAAAACTGACTTTAACAAGAGTTGTAAGTGTATTTCAGTTAAATCTTTTTCTTGTGTTGCCCCAGTGCTTTTTGAAAACATTTATACCATGTGAGCATGTTAGACACATAAATAAGCAGAGTTACAGCTCTTCCCCCAATTCTATCCTCACTCTAGAACACAGCTGTTCTTGGAAACATGGAAATAATACTGGGAGACTAGAGCTGGTAACCGCACAGAAAGTTTCAGACAGGTGACCCAAAAAGCATGTTTGCCTATCAAAAAAATCTATGAGCAAAGAGGTACTTCTTGAAGTTAGCTAAGTAATTGTAATTTATTTTGTCTTTCCTTGTAAGGGTCAAAAAGTACATCGTATCTTTAAGGAGAGTCCAGAAGCCACAAAAAACCTCAAGACTCCATCAGAAAAGGAGCTCAGGTATGTAACACATAATAAGAACAGAAGTGCCAACAAACAAAAATACCAGAATACTGAGAAAGTGGTACCAATTTGCCCAGAAGGAAAGAGAGCAAAGCACACAGCCTAAATACTAAGCTAGTGCAATGGCAGCGCCAAAGTAAGCCTACTTAAAGCAGAGCACATGGCAGAAACAGTTGGGAACTTATCAAACACAAATATGGATCAGTGGCAAAGAAAGGAGAAGATTATAAATATTCAAGAAACAAAGCAGGCAACAAGACTGTAAGACCAAGTGGTATAACACAGAGATAACCAAACACAAGTAAAACAGAAATGAGAAGCACAAGAAATTGGTTCTCCTGCAGCAGAAAAGCTGCCATCAATAACAACGCTATGCATCAAGCAGTGGCACATCAGAGAACTGCTCCATCACTCTCTTTGGGGAGGAAAATCTCCCTCCAGAGCTGAAGGCAAGGTTTTCCTCTCCTGTGCTCCAGGCCTCCCACACGGCACAGGGGAACTGCGCGGGGCCCTTGGCGCAGCCAGTTGGTGCGCTTGCAAGAGCAGCCTTGCTGCCTGCGGCTGTGCCAGGGCCTGTGGGCCAGGCTGTGCTGGCAGCCAGCCCTGCTCCCCGTCACAGGCTAATTGCCGCTGGCACCAGCTCCCTGAGCAGGAGAGCGGCCACAACCCCACACAGCAGCCAAGGCATAAATGCCTTTCAGCAGGGCACTGAAGAGCTACAAGCACCGTATCCCAGCCGCAGCACCACTGCACACCCGCGGCCGGGGGGCGCTGGCGGCCAGCCCTGCCCCCCGTCACAGGCTAATTGCCGCTGGCACCAGCTCCCTGAGCAGGAGAGCGGCCACAACCCCACACAGCAGCCAAGGCATAAATGCCTTTCAGCAGGGCACTGAAGAGCTACAAGCACCGTATCCCAGCCGCAGCACCACTGCACACCCGCAGCAGGGGATGGGAGATGTGGCCATCTAGGGACCTCAACCCAACCAGTAACCCTGTCCCACGGCCAATGTCTCAAATGGCGTTAGGAGAGAAGTTGAGAGATGGTCCGAATACTCATTAATAGGTCATCAGAAGCAAGCAATTAAGGTATGCCACACATAGAAACAAATATGGCTGTTCTAAAACAACCAAAAATCCTAGTAGCTGTTTTTCCAAGCATTTATTACGGGAAAGATCATTTCCTGCAAAGCATCCTTAAAGATCCTTGAACAGATTTCCTAAGAAAAATGCAAGTAAATTATTGACCAAGTCTAACATCTAATAATTTTCTCACTGAATTTTCCTACTAGTTCTAAGGCAAACAATTTTCAAAATTTGTTCAAATGCAAGATCTGCACTGCTGTCAAAATGTCAGTGTCTGTGTTTCAACACAGCTGTTAAGTGGGTCACTCATTAAAGCACAACGCTCTAGAAAAGCAAGGAATCAGTCTAAAGAAATTACAAATAATCTTCATTATTAAGCAAGTATATATTACCAGAGCAGTTATCAAAGACTTGTACCTTTAAAGCAAGCATAAGGTGCTGGCAGAACAAAACCATCCACAGATCAAGTAAGAACAGAATTATAATTAGTTCAGGGTTCTAATTTTAATTATAAATAACTAATAGAAGACTTCATAATTGAGAGCTTTCAGTCCTGATAATTTTTTTATGAGCAATTTAGTCATCTGCCATTTCAGTCAGCAAATTGTTACAAAAGCATACACTAGCATTTGTGGTGTCCTCATTTCACATAGTTACATTTACAGTGTTTACCAATGAGAATCACTGAAAGGCTGTCATGTGGAGAAAGCAGTAAGTCCAAATAGAAAGGAAAATGAATTAAAACTCTGGGAGATTGAAATCATTACTTCAGTTTTGAATTACTGCTCTTACTCAGAAATATGCAAATACTACAAGGGAAGCATCTTTTTCTCACACATTTACTGGGCAACACAAAAATCAGACTGCAACCTAAGTCTCCTCAGATTCACCTTTCTCACAGTGCTGGAGCCTGATTTCTACTGTAGAGGGGCCAGAGAATGAGGGAACATTTCTGTGCCACATACAAACTGAAACACTAAGCTCCTATCACACTTCAAATACCATTGCTGATTATACAAAGATTTCTTATCTGGATTTTTTTTTCTGCTTACAATTATGGCCTAAGGCACAATTTAAAAAATATTTAAATATATATTTATAAAAATATAACTGAAAATGTAGACTAAGTACACCCTGCAAAACACCTATTTGTATGAGATACTAGAAAGGTCTTTGCTGTTTACCTTCTGGGCACTGACAACTGAATCCATTGATGTTGGATGAGCAGGTACCTCCATTTTGGCACGGCTGCTGGATGCAATGATCAATCTCTGACTGGCATAGCTCTCCAGTGTAACCTATAAAACAGCATGCAACATTCAGAAAACACGGTGAAAATTAGGTTTAATCACTGAATACATTACTAGGTCACTCAAACAGTACCATTAGTTTTCTTGAATAAAATTAACTAAAGTAAGAAATAGAATCCAGGACAGTCTTCTAATTTCTTATAAAATGAGATACTTAATTAGAGCTTAAACTTCACGGGAAAAACATAAATAAGTAGTGGAAATCTAGAGATTATATCAATTGTAGCAATATTCTGACAGCACTAGTATAATGGAGGTTGGTGCTGGGTCCTCATCAGCACCCATATAACCAAAAAAGAAGTCAATTTTGAATGGTTTTCAAATGCATCTTGAATCTCAAGTAAATAATCTTTAGAAAGACTTTAAACAAAGCTTGACATTATGAATTATTTGTGCATATGCTGAATTGCTGTCATTTGCTCCTACTTCTGGGCTTCAAAGAGAGTGTTTATTTTAAGTGGGAGCTGTGAAGAACCGCTCAGCACAGTTGCAAACTCTTCCAAATAAGCTCCTATAAGTTCACAAGCTACAGATTGTGTGTACTGTACTATTTGACCATAAGTTTGCTTTGTTCCATATGTCTGATGTCTATAACACATTCCCAAAAAAAGAACAAACTTACAAAATACAAGCTAAATGATTAAACACTCCAAACTTAAAGTTCTTAACAAATACCACACATTTCCCTTTCTAATTTGTATTTACCTCCAAGAAACTATGGATGCATGACTGAAGAAGAAACTACATACTACACACAGAGGCATTTTATTTTTTAAAAGGAACCCTACATAAAATTGTAAATACCTTCTATAACAAGCATGTTTAACACAACGGCTGGTGTTAAAGACCAGCAAGCTATGACTAGGTGACACTGTTGATAAAATGCTATGAACAGGTACCTAAGACAGAGACCCCAAGGTGAGATAGAGGACATGCCTGGACTAGGGTTTTGCTTATGCAGGGGGAAAAGGGAAAAAGAAAAACAAAAAAAAAAAAGAAAAAATATTCTTATTTTGATTAAATAATTCTTTTTAACGCAATCGAGATTAACATTTATAAGTCTTTTGGGCAGGCTAATACTTATACCCGTTCAGATCTATTGATGTCACCACAAAATAGCTCTCAACATAGAATGTTGTATTTGGAGTTGCTAGAGCACTACTTTAGAAAAGGATGTTTAAGGGTTTCCACTCTGTGTTCCTTACTGCTTTTAGATGCTATAGAGCGCTAAATTATGATCCCATTTTCTGCAATGCAAAACCTGGAAAAAGGAACTTTGTTGTATGTTGTATCTGGATTAATGCTCATAAATCACCTGAACTAGAGAACAATAATGAGGTTGAAAACCAGAACAGTGCTCTCGTGAGCTTGCTCCTCTGGATCGGATTGGGGCACACATGGAGGGACTCTGGATTACTAGTGATTTTCTGTAATTCTAATTGGTCTCAAATTAACATAAAATTTACAAAACCACCAGTGAACTATTACAGAAGACTACACCAGCTGATTTTTTTTCAACTATAGGCTTCATATTTTTTCAAGGTCTCGCATTCAGCTGATTATTTTTATGAATCATAATGCAGTATTAAACATGCTGTCAATAAACATTTTTTCCATGTTTAAACTGTTACCAAGTTTGTGAAAGCTAAAAATTACACTGGAATTCAACGTGTATCCAAAAGAAAGGCACAGAAAGGCAGAAATTATTGTGTTGCTCTGAAGCTTGCCACAAGAATCTGACTTCCTGCAGTTGTCATTACAGGTTGTGGGAAAACTCATCAGAGATAATATTTATGACAGCTTTATGAAAATAACTGTGTCCCATCTTATTAATATCTATAGGGCATGTTTTGTCCATCTGAAAGAGAATATGATTTGTGAATTTCATAGCAAATATGTTGCAAATCTTAGTTGGTTTCCTGGCATCTCATGGTATCAATTTTTCTACAATTGCGCTAACACATTCTGAAGCAAGCAATTGAAATGTCTGTCGCTAATAATGACTGCTTTTTTAACTCATATGGAGCTTTTAAAGAAAAGGGAGAGGCCAAATCTTAAAAAAAATAAGTAAGCACTTGATGCAGATATATGGGATCACAGTAACCAAAGAAACCCTTAGGATTTTACATTATTACACAAACAAAATAACGTTTGCATTATCAAGGCACTATAATTTGTAACTTCACAGTAGAAGCAGAAAATATCACAGACTTGATTACGGCAGTAATGCTCACCTTTGGAGTCCTGTACATAAGTGGGAAGTATATTTATGTTACTCTGCAAAACTTAGCTGTACAACTTCAAAATATTAAGTTTTCCTAGTGGAAACACTCTTAGGCTTTACAATAAGCACATCAGAATTATCATAAATATTCCCCCTAAGGTTTTTTACACAACTAAACCCCAAGAATTCTTAAGTATGTGAAAAATATTTTATATTAATAATATATTCTGATTAAAAAAATTGTTTTCATGAAATTTGGGCAGGTTTTCTTTAGAATCATTTTTGTATTTCTTCTGAGGTAGGGAATTTGAAAAAAGAAATTTAGCCTAATAGTTGATGTAGAACATTTTCCAAGATAGGTCAGCCAATACAAGTAAAACACACAAACATAACAAATACATTTTTTATTTTCTAATTAGAAACTACTTGTCAAAATCCAAAAGGATTCTGAATCAACCATATTTAACATGACAGTAATGGCAGAGGTTGTTCAAATATTTGAAGTTTGTTCCACTCTGATCTTTCTCTTCTCAAATTTAAATCATTATTCAAATGTATTTACATACCTTGTAAAAGTGACAGTTGATTCTTTGGCAAATTTATGAAATAGAATAGAGTACATGTGGATAAGAATGTCACATCGTATTTTCAGAGCAGTATAAAACCAGGGCGTTATATAAAAATCCAAATATAAATCCCTTTCTTGCTGCTCATTTGCTATAGCAACTTTAAGAAAAGAGAGAAAAAGTGGAAGTCCTAGAGGCATAAAAAGTATAATTAAAAGGAAAGATCTTGACCTTTAGAGAGAATGAAGGGGCCTTAATAATTTGCCATTGCTGATTTTCTGAACCGTGACGTTCACAAAACACTGCAGAGGGTAGTACATGGCAGCCACATTAAAGCATCACTTGCATCTGCCCATTTCTGGCTCAGTCATTTTTCAGGCTAACACATAATCTAGAGCAGCTAGAAGTTGGTCTGGTCTGTACGGACATGCATTAAGCTAAAGAATAAGAATATCCCCAACTTTAAGGGAATATAAGAACACCCATTCCATGATCCTGCTTTAGGGCAGAATAAAGGAAGTATTGCTACATGTACCTTTTATATACATGTAATGCACACAAATACCCATCTAGCATTAAAGCCATTCAATAACCACTGGACACAACCACTAGAAACCTGACCAAATAATTCATTTTTCCATATGCTTTTTATGATATAGGTTTTATAGCTTTTATATGCTTCAGATCTTAGCACCTACTCAGGAAGCATTTTCCTTTTTTTTTTTTTTTCTTCCTTCAGATAAGTACACTTTCTCTCTACTATCAACTGACCACTAAATGGTTGTATGATTTATCAGCCAGTACTTTACAGAAATTAAAACGTACAGTAAAATATTTGTAGGAAGCAAAGTAAATTACCTGCTACTGATCTTAGTCTTAGCTGACTTTTATTTTTAAATCATTTCAGAAAATACACATTGAAGTAACTGTTCTAGTATGATAATTGAGTTTGTCTTTGAAATGTAAGGTTCAGATAGCAGAGTTTTCTATAACAGCCATTTTGTAAGGTTCTTCCATCAGCCCGTATGCTTAATTTACCTTCCAGCATATGACAACCACTGTATTTAGTTTCATTTTAATTTCAGTTAAGATGTCCATATTCATATGATCAAATTTTGAAAGCATATGCTCTTCAAAGAACTCAAAAACTCGTTCATTCATTAATCAAACCCACAAATGACTCAGATTAGTTTGTGCATTTTTAAAAAGTTTTCAAAATTTAAGTAGATTCTGAGGAACAATCCAACAACTGCATAGTGTGGAGAGAGTTTTATTCCATTTGCTTGGTGCAACTGAAGAACAGAGTTTGCTAGTCACAGTGAAAGCATGTGTATTGAAAGGTTAGCTATAATGCATACTTAAAATCTCTACTGAAAAGAAAAAAAAAACAGATTAAGAAAAAGCTGATGTAAACTAAATTTTGGTCATCTATTCTTAGTAGGTAAAGTTCTGTTAGATATGAATAATTCACTCATTAGCTTATGGTTTGGATGTGTGCTTTCAGTGGCACTGTTCACGGGTGAAGAATCTTCCACAGCCTTTTAAAAAGTGCCCTTGTGTTGTTTTTGTATTTTTGTTCTTTCCTAGTATCTGAAGATGCACAGTTCACTGCTCTGCAAAAGATATGCACTGAATGTTAAAACAAAAATGCATTATTCAAAGCGTAATACAAAACCTACCAGCCGGGCAGCTGCAGGTGAAATTGTTCCCATCGTGTTTCTGTGCTACATCGGTGCAGGTTGCATTGTTCTGACAGGGCTGGCTCTGACAAGCATCAAATTCTTCACACAGGGAACCCTGATACTCATCCTCGCAGTCGCAGAAAAAGGTTGCCTAAAAACAAACAGGATATGTACTTCACAATGAATTTTCAAAGGTTATGTTTTCATTGAATACTCTACTGAACAAAGATGTTTTTGTTGTTTTCCTGTTCCTAACAACAGTAGCTGCCATACATACATCAACTGCGTAAAGCTACTCTTTGAAATACTAAACCTGCACCAGTTCTTCAGCTAAAATTTTTAATGATGTCAGGGAATTTCATCTAGACAAGGAGGCTGGGATCAGATCCATATTGTCTAAATCACTATAGATTATTTTTCTTCCATTCCAGAAATTACATTTACAGACTGGAATAACTGTCAGAATACGTAATGTACAGATTTACCGCAACAAAATCCTACTACAAAGATGTACCCTTTATGTGAAGGGCAGGGCTGGGATTCCAGAGGCTGACTTCAGTGGTACTTCATTAGCGACACACCCCTTCAATTCTGTTAAAATAGGTCTTCTTCTGAACGTATTTGTTACTTTGTCCAAACCTTGCTGCTTAATAAAAGATCGAGAACACTACACCTGCTAAAGATCTTAAATACCTATAGTAGGCATGACATGGCATGTTTTTGTTAGTAATAAAATAATTAAGATTAGATTTTAAAAAAATTTTAGGTCACTAAGATTGTCAAGGAAGTCTCAAAGAATGGAAGCAAAGAAAGCTTTCTCATCTGTAGTATACGTTTAAATATCACACTTTGTTCATTAAACACTAGATGGCAACATCACTCACTCTCATACATTTCAAAGCCAGATCATTAGGGCTGGAACACAGCTGTCCCATGCACAAACATGGTAATGCAAAGTACAGAATGTGTCTGGGACCAGAAACAAAGAGATGAGGTTAGTATTTTATCTTCTATTTTTAACTTGTGTTTGCTTCATATGAATAAACAGCTGTGACATAAGTAGAAAAGAAAATAATCATCTTCATGCAAATAAAAAACCTTACTGAGTAAACCCAGATTTCATTCGTCCTTAAAAATATTACACTGGTAGAGTTTAAACAAGGATTAAAATTATGCATCTCCAAAACTCAAAATGATGGGTATGTTATTTATCTGGAGTGCCAGAAGTCCCTGCTAAGCATACAGTCTGTACATGTTCTTGTATTTGTCCAAGCCTCTTCACAAAACAGCTCTGAGTATCTCACACATTAGCAATGCCAGGTTTCCAAACAAGGCTGTAGTTCAACAGAAAGGAAAGACAGGCAAGCTAAACACAGTAAAAAATTATTATGATCACATAGCACGGTAACTTACTTTGAAGATAATTCATATGAGCTACACAGGAAAGTGGCTAACAGAGTGAAACAGATAATCACTTCTATTTAAGAACTAAACAATCAACTAAATGCACAGTAACTATTTCCACATTTCCATATGGCATTGGTTGAAAACACATCAGCACAGGGATCACTTTGGTCCCTAAAGACAACAGTGATCAGTGGTTCAAACTTAGTGTTGTCAACATCTCATATCCTCCAAGTCATGCAGTACTATTGTGTGTATGTAGGATCAGGACCCAGGTAAAGAGTGCACATAAACATGTAGCCTTCAGCATCCTTCACGGCTGTTCTAACTCTTACTGATACTAAATTATGTTATTGACTTGAAGTGTTTGTTATCATTCCTGGAATGAAGTGTTGAGTTTAGACTTCGTACAAAATCAAGGTTGCTGCCTGTCTCAATAACTCACCTGTTCTGGACTAACAGAGTGAGATACCATACTATGAAAAAAAACCGTAGTTTTTCTTAAAATGGACATGAACAGGGCACAGAGAGATATAGTACCTAGATTCTGTGCCTTGTTTGAAGAGATAAGAGCCTTGATTACATTTAAATACATTTCTGGTCCTTGCATATGCACTAAGAATGAGAACAGGCTTATCTATGTCTATCTGATGCTAAAGACATGCCTAAGCAAGAGAGCCAAGAATACCATTGCATCAAACTTAACCTGTCAGAACAGAGAGGTACCACGTTTGTTAGGTAGGCTCAGGCTCATGATTTATGCTAGATCTGAGAGTAAGATGCAAAGTACATCTCTACCTGAACCATTCAACGGAGAAGAAGGGAATGCCTGTACTGTCCAGACAGACACAAACAGCATGGCTCAGCCTGCACTAAAATCTCATTTTGAAGCAATGGAAGCTGATTATTATAATGTAAGTATTAACATATTTAAACAATGCAACAATCAGTCATTGCCTCAACAATATTAATGAAACGGGAAGTTAAGAAAAGCTCAGATAATACTGATATCTCTCTAAGAGTATGATATAGGGATCAATTTACCATAAAGTGTGGTTAACAAAATGGGTTTTGAAAGCAGAAAAGCATTGTAACACTTCAAACTGTAATGTCTAATGACAGATAACCATTCTGAGATGCAGACAAGTTATTCTGTACAGAAGATTAGGTGTCATAATTTTTATTAGGCATGTCATCTTCACTTTTCCCAAAAGTTACTATTAATTTTTTTCCTGAATACATGACATGTACTAGCATATTTGAGAAAACGAAGTCAAGAAGAAACCACACACTGCCACGATGCTAGTATTAAAGTCACTAAGAATTCCAAAACAATGTACTATCAACAGACAGTTCATCTGTGTATTTTATTTCATTAGGGGAGTACAAATCTATCATATGCCATCATTTAGATGGCAATAAAATAAATGCTTTAAAATAATTTGCTGTTACCCAATTCAATTGTCTGTAAGTATCATATTATGTAGCTGGAATATAGTACTTTTTCCCTATTTAAGTAACCAGAGTAATAACATGCACATCAGATTCTAAATTTCAGACTATAGAGACCATAAAAGCTCAACTTTTTTCTTTTTTTTTTAAACTATAGTAAAGTAGCTGTTAAGATGACCAGAACAAAATGAATGTTCTCTTGCTGCGAAAGACTTCCAGTAGTTATTACAACTCACAGAGAGCTGCTATAATATTTGAGCAAAACGTTGCTATATGGTAATTACATATTTTGTATTTAGGAGTATATTGTACTTGGGTAACTAAGTCCATATACAGGGGAGCATGCCTTTAGGTATACATAAGGCTTTTTTATAATTAGCCTTTCTACAAATATAATCAAGTGGATCTACCCCAAAGCCCATATAGAAGGCACGAAAATCATCGCTATTCAGTTCAGTATGTTACTTCTCAGTGCAAGCAGAGGCCAGTTATTTTTGTGTAAATCTCAAGAGTTCTAATTCTAGCAATAAAATTTCATATTTATACAGTCAGCTCTTCCATATTTTACATGGGAGATCCAAAGTTGCAGAACAGAGCAACCTGTGAAAGAAACAGTTTTATTCCCATATGTAAGCAAAATTGTGGCTCTCAAATCCAAGGGATGGCCAAAGCTTACTTTAAAATCCCCCACAAAATCAGAAATTCACAACAAACAAATCTCTATTTGGGTTAATACCAAGATTTTTCTTTTCCATTCACAGCTAACTGTTTTGAGGACAACTTATGCTGATGTAAAGCTTAGTATATAAATGTGAAAGTGGTATTTATCTTGTGATGATGCCAAGACCAATATTATCCTTCCCACTTCCATTGTGGAAGAATGGCAAGCATGGCAACAAAGCAGGGGTACACTCATACAAAGGAAAGAAGAGGCATTACTTTGACTCAGCATCACCTCACTTCACAGAACTTTGTTCAAAGTGGTGAATTTTATGTTCCTTTCAAAAACAATAACTGAAAAAGAAACCCTGCCATTGAAAGCTTTCCATTTCATTTCCACACTCTACAAAAAGCATCTAGCTGGGTAGAAGCTATGTATTAGTAAGGAAAGAGTAAAAACTGGCCAAGACTTCCAGGTTAGACTAGAATTCATCTGTTTATAGTTTTATGTGCTCCATAGATAACAGTATGCCACTGCACTTCTATCACTGCAGATTGTTAATTACGTTTAACATTCCCATTAAGCAGATGTGTTACTACATTCTTTTACATTAAACTAGATTTGGAATAAAACTATGAAGTACATAAAAACACAAAGACAATCATTAATCATCTTGGCACTGAAAGCAATGACTACAGCCAGCAGAGCTCTTTGCATAAAAGGCCTAATACCATGAATAAGCTTTCTTCCTAAGAAGTTGCTTTGCATCCTGAAAGACTAGATTGTGCAAACCAGAATGAATTATAGATAAAAACAAACAACAAATCACAAAGGGCATGTTGTAAACCTAAAGAAATTTAAAGTTTCAGTTCTGCAAAAAGAAGTGCAGAAGATGTGTCCTGTGGAAAACCGACACAATGGTTGGTACATGTCAAGCATGTAATTTTGGCAGTTGTTTGCTCAATCATAAGGAAAATCACCAAGACATTTTAGGGTATATCTCAACTAAGATGAGTTAAACAATGGCAAAACCACCCTGCTTAATGAAATCTGCACCTTCTGTTTTTACTTATGTTGCTCCTGCTGGGCCTGAATCAGATTCCTGGCTGAAGTTCTATTATGCAACTAACAGGCTAAAGAGTAAGGAAAACTGACAGATTTTTAAAAAAAAGCTATGGACAAATGGACAACATGACATAATTATTCTCCCTAGTGTAGGAAGCTAGACATAAACTGTCTACATTTGGAAACGCTGTACCTGAGGTTTTAGCGAGTTACCCCAGTCCATCAAGCTACCTGGCACAGGTTTGATGGCACTCGAGAGGCTCACTGGGGACATTTCTCATTTGTTCAAGTTCTAGAAAAATTCAGGAGCAGTTTGTGACAGTGAAAATAAAAGCAATTACATTTTTGAAGATAAAATTTTATTTGAAGATAAGAGCTATTGAGAGCCCTGCTAATTCCAGTTCTCTGACCACCACAAATTGACGGACACCTCTGCAGAAACAAACTTCAACATGTCCCACAGCTTCAGCCACAGGGGTGTCAGTCAACTACCCCCTAGTGCATGTTACATCAAAAACACTACCTTAATAAATTTTCCTGTTATTACTCTAAGGATAAAGGAAGAATAGGTGCAAAGATATTAATAATGCTATATTTTCTTTATTCATTTTCCAGGGAAAGCAACACACTACAAATGTGTGAGAGGGGCTCATTTATCACTAGCAGTTCTTGTTTTAACATATAAAACTTTCAGTGTGAAGATGGGGGTGGGGACATACAGGTACTGATTTATCTTTTTTTGGGTGACATAATAGCTCCTCTTTCTTGCCATGAAGCCAATTTGTCTTTCTTTTTAAAGATTATTTTATTTTACTTGCCATGTCACATTTATAAAATGCGGACAACTATTGAAGTCCATATATGCATTTTTGCTTCTGCATAGATACAGGAAGTAATTAATTTTTATTTTGTGACATGACATGCAATAAGAGAAAGAAATTAGAGATATAAAAATGGACAAACAACATGAAAAAATTGAAAATAAGACTACCCAAGGCTTTAAGCGTCAACTTGACAAAAAAAATGGAAAAAGAAGAAATTTTTATACGCTCTTATATATAGTAAATTTGAACTTATTACTTTACATAAATCAAATTCAAGATGTTGCATTTATAAAATAACAATGTTAAATATAGTAAAGCAGAAAAACTAAACTGGACTATGAAATAGGACACTGTATCTGAATGAATAATTTATTTGGATACCAGCCAGCTGGTATGGTAGAGTAGCACTTCTAAACACCATCTTGCAATAATTGTGTTCACATATTACCTCAAGCATTTTAAAATTTCATTTTTGAAAATAAAGTAGATGCTTAATTCTTCCAGATGTTAGCACTGCCATGCACATATAGATTACTGTAGCAATTTAACTATTGTTGTTACAATTCAAAACATAGTTTTTCTATCAAACATGCTTATTGAGAATTTAAATCGGAAAATGGTAGCAGATGAACTAACAGTGAATTCCCTAAATATGCCAAATTTTCTGTGCTCACAACAGGCTCACAGCTGTTAATATTTACTCAACAGTTACTACTGTTTTTATCTCCCAAATGAATATTAATAAAACCAAAGATTAACTGTGCATATTTGTGCTGTAAATTACTTTTAATCCATGAAATAAAATCAACACGTATAGAAGGTAACAGAGAATACAGGATCTCATGCACAGAAGGACAGCCTGGTTTTGTAAAAGCAGCATACAGGCTGCAAATTTAACATGTTCAGTTCTTACTTTCTCATGTTACTAGATCACACAAAAAATTCACAGTGGCCAGTGGAATTGCTCTCACTGTTGTAATCTCTCAACATCGTACCATGTAAAGGAGAAAGCTGTACAGGAAATCTTACAAACATTACCAAATTACTCCATTCTGTTTCTTCTCATGATTATGCTCAGGCAATTCCATTGCAGCGATCAGTGATCTCTAAGCAAGCAACTTACTGAGACATGGAGAGATAAGTACTAGATTAAAACCAAAGAAGACTGAAGACTTATGGAATACACTGGTCTGAAGATTGGGGATCCCAGGCACTCACTATGTGCTCCTCATCTCACAAAGAAAAATTCTTATATAGTGACAGTAAGACGCAGCACGCACTAGCTTATACCTAATTTGAATAATTGTTTTTATTGCCAAGGCAGGGTATGAATCTTTGCTTGAGTTATTTTCTTACTTTTAAGTGCTTGATTTTTAGGAATAGGAAATAATACATTGTTATTATTTAGTAACATCTGTGAGCTTGTGAAGTCTGTTACACAGCAGCAAGGTATGCACACACTCAGAAGACCAAGTACAATTTCCCCTGTATCTATATTATCATGGAATTTCCACATTACAGGAAGGTCTTGGTAAGTTCACCTTACCTGATCTGGTTTGGTGATACATTTTCCTTTTCCTGAACACTGGAAGTAATCTGAATCGCTTCCCACAGGCATGCAGGTACTGACTTTCACTATCACAGTCAAGCGTAGAGCCACAATGCATTTAGTAACTGAATCATTCAAAAAACCTTAAAAAAATAAGATTATTATTACTATATGAGGAAATACGCTAATACATATTAACACTCTACTGCTAGACAAAAACAAAATTGAATTGAAAGAAACTGTCAGCTAAGAACATCATTGCTCATACTTCACACACACCTATCTACAGTTAATGCATGTAAATAAAAATTAGAATATAGTTTGGAAACAAACACATTATATTGATTAACGAAAGGAAGGCAGGTTGGTGAACCAGCTCTACATCCAGAGCTCTAACATTTTATCATTTTTTAGGTTTCTAATAATCAAATATTTTTGCCTGCTATCTTTTTGACAATTAAAAATACATTTAAGTTTTTTTTAATGACAAGGAATATGAAAATCAAATTCAGTGGAGAAAAATGTTTACATGAATTTCTAAAAGTTACTTCAGAGCTAAAAAGCTACTTCAGAGCTAAAAAGCATACAGATCATAAAACTCATTACACTGGTAACAGACGGACAAACCCTTTGGCTGCATTTTTTATGAAGTTTGCAAGAAGAGACATACACAGCTTGACAGCATTTCTTTGTATATTTGCAATAAAAGTATTATTGAACATTTGATCTGATCACTCTATAAAGTGATATACCAGGTATAGATGAATAAGACCTGAAAATGGAAACATTTGACAAGGAAGATGAAAACTCATGAATCTCTGGCTTGCACCTGTAATTGCATGGAACTAAAAAAATAATTGGTTGGAAGCTATTAAAGCACACTGGAGCACAACGATATCCCTACCACCCAGATTTCTAACAGATAAACCTGGAAAATAAAGGACAGCAGGAAAGATATAATGAGGCATGTACACAGCCCATGACATAGACAATTAAGTCAGAGTTCGTGTCAGAATGCTCCTGTATTTCACTTGCACACAAACTGCACGGTTCCACCACAGAGATTGGACTCCGGGGTTACAGCCCTTCCATGTATGGCATCAGTTAGCTGGTTTGTTCTGACAGCTTGTGGCAGAATAAATGTGCAGTGACATGAAAAGCATGGCCTTGGTATAGTGTATAAACTATATGCAGAATATATGCATAAAAAAGCCCAAAGACCCTTCCATAAATTGTCAAACTTAAATTTGACTTCACTATCCTTAATGTAGGTAGACACTTAAGGGTCTAAGACTGTTTGTAGGACCAGTATGGAAAGTTAGACATAGAACCATTGCAGGATTATACTTTTCTTTAGAAATCAATAGAGAGAATTGAAGTAACAAGGAATGTTTTTTTAATTCTAAATATACTTAATTTAAAAATTAATTATTGTAAATGGATGCAGGAAGTGTATGACAGATTTTTTTTCTAAAATTCTAGTATCCATTTACAGCCTAAACCTCAAGGGAACTTCAAAGATGCAATCTAGTTTCTTGCATTATAGACCAAAGATAGTACAATATTTAGTCAAGTATAAAAAAAGTAGTGCAAGATAATGTTTATAATGAGCAGTAATAAACCAAAGTTCCATGAAACACACTGAACTTCAAGTGAATTCTCTTTCCAGAACAGCTGCTAAACATTTCTTACATTCTGCATATGAAAGTGTCAAGCATGACTAATTCTACAAATTCCACAGAAAATCATATGGAAGACTTCCTTTAAAATGCTGCATCCTTTGAACAATTAGTTGATTATGCTAGAAACAATGGTCCCTAAACCGTATCTTCAAAGCAGGAAAATCTCATGTCCAATACAGATGTCATCGGCTTGAGTATAGCCTCTACAAGTTAGTTAAATATTCTAAAAGATCAGATTAAAAAAAAATATATATATTGGGTATAGTTCCAAATGTCTAATGGTCTGTTTTGGCTAGTAAAGATTACTGTAATCTGCTGACCTCTTCAAAGTGAGTGAATTTATTCTGGCCTTAATACACACCCCATTTTTACCCATCTGTTCAAAGCTGCAGCCAGAATTATTTCCTGTAACAACTGAATGCAATTGTCACTGGCAGTCGTGCAATTATATGTGAATGCTTAGAAGAATGTGGTATTTAGAAAATGTCTTTGGGTTCACATTTGCTTGTCTGAAGCAGATTGTTACATATCCTTCAGGACAGTTCCCTAAAGGAATATCAAATCAAACTTCTTTGTACTTTCAATCTTGTTACTATTTTGGTATCAAAAGCCCTTAGACAAACCACTGGAAAAAACCGCCCTTATTCTCACTGGAATGCCACATATTTTCCTGTAATTTCTAATTATCTCATCTAATTTCCAAAGACCAGAAAAATAAAAACATGGCTATTTATTTGCACTCCACAGAAGCTGCATACAACTTTCTGAGATCTCTAGGTTTTAAAGCTAGAAGAAGCTTGTCTGATCATCTAAATATGACACTCTGCTTAACTCAGGTCATAGCACTTCAATTAATTCATTTTCCAATTCCCATAACAGCAGCTGAACTAGAGTGAGTTTGAAGTTCTATTTTTAACTTCTAGGTAGGAGAATCATTTCAGAAGCATGTTTACAGCTCTCTTCATCTAAGGTCCGGAGGAAAACATTACAGCTGTTTATATCAAAAGGTTTTTGTTCAGTTTAACCTTGCTGGTTTTCTAAAACTAGTTAAAACATAACGACATCAGAGCATTTTAAGCTGAAGAATTCAGGGTTGAGCTATTTACAGTAATATTACGGAAACAATTTTAAAGCTTAATAAATCATTACATGATGTGAGTAGTCATTTAGATTGCAGGGGAGGCATTTTCAAGCTTTGTGAACACACATTTGATAGTCTGAGAAATGTCAGCATGATTTCATTGGCAGTACGCATGGTAAAACACACTACACCTCATTCCACCCTGCTAGCTTCACCTGCCTACACCTAAGGAGCACGAAGTAGCTATGCTCCTGTCTCTCTCACATCAAGGAAGTTAAGAACAAAAAAATAAGGAATAAAGTCAAAATAAAAGGTGACAGGTGTGATCACTGTGTCCAGATGCTTTCAGCAAGATTATATCTTGCCATTCAAATTACCACTACTCAAACATTCATTGACTGCAGGTTGTCTAGATGACACAAATTGATTTGCTTCCTTCGCAAGCCCCATTTCTGAACAATACCTTCCTTCCATACACAGCAGACTAAGGTCAGCAAGCTGGTCCATACTGGACTGCCAAAATAAGGAAGACTGAAGCTAAGAGGCCACCAACTCAGAACGTCATCCTACTGTATATTATGCTAATGGAAGGTGTAAGACTGAACTACAAATCATAACTCTCAGTATGCACTCAATGCTATTACACACACAGTCTTGCCTATTGCAATTGGCTCAAATGTATTTCTATGTATTCCAGACAGTGAATATATGTATTCCAACATATATACCTATGGTTGAAACAATAGATTATAATTTTACAGCAGAAATACAGTAATAGTTCCCTACATTAGAGTTCTAATTCACAAAAGTATAGGTCTTTGAGTCCACCTACAGGTTTCTTGGATGAGAGAGAATGACTGCCAAGGAGTTTGGGCACTCACTTACAATGAAGCATCAGTCCCCAAGTTTTCAACTTATTTTTAGCCTGGTTTCCCAAGGAAATGAGACAGCAGTGGGATGTCTATCAGTTTCCATCTGTTCTCTTTTCCTCTCTCAGCACTTGCCCACACCAAAAGCTTTCGGGGTCAGTAGCCAACTTAACATTTTGCAAAGCAGTGGAGTTCTCAAAGACACTAAGTGCCTACAGCTTCCCTGCACAGTATATAGCCCCGGCACTAAGGGCATTGGCAAGTCAAAATGGGTATGAAAACAAAAAACGGCCCCAGAATAAGGTGATGTCATTCGTTCACCTCATTCCTGGTATACAGTACAGTCAGTTACTCATTATTTAGAAAATGGGAAACTGGGATATATACAAATGGAAGAAAAGCAGATAGCACCAATACTTCAGGAGCAAAGCAGTGGTATTGGGTGTGCCTGCATCACCTCTTCAGTTCATGTCATGAAGTAAAATGATGAAGCTATAAAACTTCCAGACCTGATTTCAGCTTCCAGTAACAATATGACTGCTATCAGTGTATACTGAACCACAGTTGATAAGCCTCTGTGGTCCAGGATAGAAGCTACATAAGTATGTCTGCTAGCTCATCCACAGATAATGGAAAGTTATAGAATTAACCTAAATTCTAAAATATCCCAGAGGAATTTTCTTTTTGACCCCATCTGTTGCATCACAGGAAAAAATGTTACCCAGCAAGCTAAACAGGAGTGGTCAATATGCTCAACCTTTTCTTTTGTGGCCATTGAATTTTGCAGACATAAGAATACTTTAAAGAAAGGAAGCTAGGGAAAAAAAAGATAACTAAATTTTGATTACAGTACTCACCAGAAAAAAGACAAAGGAAGACTTAGAATTCAAGTCCCTTCTGCTAAAGTTTTTTATGTCCAAATTTTATCCAAAGATTATTTCGTGTCCATAACACTCACACTGTCCATGCATCATAGCGTATAGCTAACATTCAAGATATGAAGGGGCCAATACTATCACCACTATGCTTAAGTGCCTTTTTGGATCTAAGCATGAAGTAATAAATTGAGTTTAACTATACAAACCAACTTCCCTCTCTTATGGCATTGTATATTACAATCTCAAATAGTGGTTATCCGTCTAGCAAATCTAAGGGAGCTCAACCCTTTCACTCATTCATGGAAGTCATGTTCTACTCATTTTAGAAACCTAAGAAATGAAAAAGCATAACAAGATGTTATCCTGATACACTTGATTGTGAAAATTTACCTTTACATGTTGAAATAGTAGAGGCATGCTTTTCATTTACAAATAGACAATCATTTATCACCTTTTCCATGACCCTAATGGTCAGCATCATTAAGGCCTATCAGTACTTTCTGGGCTCTGACACAAATACTGTTCTACTGAAGCTGAAAAAATGGGTCAGAAATCCTTTCCTAGTTTGCCTTCGGATGATTATCATACACAGGCAGAAACAAGAAGTGAGAAACAGGTAGTCAATGACATTCA